TGATATTTGTATCATCCAGTGTGGTCATGAAAGTCTTAGAATTTTCTGGGCTCCTGGTGGTCCCTAATTGAAGATATGTTTTTCCTACACGGACCTGTTTCAGTTCGTCTCATTATAACCCCAAGTGTCAATCATGACCAAGCATTTTTTGTAATATTAAGTGACCATAAGACCAGCCTTTAGTTATGACAACTTTCACTGATTGTGTAGCAAACAAAGCTCCTCAGTTGCGACTCATAGTCTTAATTAAAAAACTAATCTTCCCAACCTAAAAAGACTACAGTACCAAATAACATAGAAGATAATCACCCTTACCAGGTGCTTTTAATAAAGTGATTTCATTCTTACTGTCATGGCCCAGTTGTAGACCACGTTTGTAAAGAACTCTTACTTATGTGGCAAATTATTCATCGCAGTTTTTCAATAACTTGCATGTGATCTGTTGAAGGTTTAAATGTAATAGCTGTCCTAAATGTAATAACATTTGGTCCCAAATTTGTATTTAACCAAGTTGAAGTGCCGAACGTTGGAGGGCAACAGATGGACTTCAACTATGCAAATTCACAACAGCAGATATACATAAAAGGAAGTTAACTAAACGTTGAGATTGTTCCATTCAACAGCGTCCCAAGCTATCAGTTATAAAGCATATTGTCAAAACAATTCTCTAAAGAGCACGCAACACCTACAGTAGCCGAGTGAAAATATAAAACAAACAAAGACTGATGGAATTCAGGGCACATCGAACCTGTATCCAGATTCTGAGTTGAATTACTATGAATAAATGAATTACACCAACATCAGTGTTCTAACACTGAAAGCAATAAGAGACACGATGCAAACGTATCTTACAAACCTTGTGAAAAGGCTGGATCTGGAATTAGAGCAGAGAGTTCAAATCGAAGGGGACAAAGAAGACCAAAACACATGTTGAGAGGAGATCTCGTCGCTGGTGTAAGATATTTAGCCTTGCTTCTGATGCGACTTGTAAACAACTGAAATGTTGACTACAACCAATAGAATTCGAGCGATTCCAGCTGCTCCCAGTTTTCTGACGTACAAATGAGCACATTCTTTTGTTTTTGCGACAATAAATGCCTCAGTGCTATGTTTGTCTGTCAAACATTTCTCCTTATTTCAGCTCACCGCAGGCGATCATCTTGCGAAGTAAGTCTTAGCGAAATTATTAGAGTTTGCATAGGAATATTTACGGCCACTCCTAGGAATAAAAAAATACAGTCAAATTCTCACCTTACTTCCACGGTGCATCGCTTGTTATCTGACTGCTTCTTAAGTTGAAAGAACCTATTTCAGCGAGTTATCCATTTCTAGGTTTATCATGTACGTAAAAGAAGCCCTCAGGGCTTCTCTTATATGAGGTGAGGTGTTTTTATTGAGAATCTGACTTACTTTTTTTATTCCTAAGAGCGATCTATCTAAAACATAACAATCTGACAAGTAAATAAAGCTCTGCGTAAAATTGAACGTGCCATCACCTTGCCTTATATAACCGCTTTTGTGCCCTGATGAAAAAAAGAACGTTTACCAGCTTCTAAATGATTCATTCTGAAAACTGTCATGATGATTTAATTGATCTCGTTTTAAAATATTTTCTGAATCAAACCCTCACCCCCTCGAGCCTTTGCAATACATATTTGGGTCGGCCATACAGCAAGGAGTTGCAATAATCAACCTTTGAAGTAAAAAAGGTATATCCAAGGATTTTCGTTAACCATCTCACCAACAATGTTCAGATAACCGATGTTTGGTCCTGGATGATAACAAGAGGAAAAAACCAGCACCTCCGTTTTATAGAAGCAACGGTCTGCACTTTATAAAACTTTTGCCTTCGGCTACTGATTTCCAAGCTCCTCGAGTGTTCTTCAAAAGTCGCAAAAGGCTTATCAAAGCGGCACATTGAAGGAGTGGGCGGTCTACCGCTTCAGGAAACTCTCGTACCTATTTTTCGAGCTCATTGTGGCACTTTAGTCTCTGTTTGAGTAATACGCGTGTAGGCAGTAGCTGGCCATAAAAACGACTCTTCCTTGTTTATAGGAAACACCTCATCCTATCGATGAATCACTGCAAAAGAAGAGTCTACAAGACGAAGTAAACTGGGACGGGAAGGGAAGTCTGGTCATCCAACCCTCCCCCCTCCCCCCACATCCACCAATCTCTTTCCCCAACTCTTCCGTTTTACTTATCGGCTCTCGTGCACTGCTTCTCAATTTCTTATTGTAAATTGAGATAAACACCTTCAAAACCAGAGAATCTTGATCGTTCAGTAAACCTTGGCTTCTTGTAGTAGATCTTCTCGTTTCAATCGCCTAATTTGAAAGTTCCAAAGTCCGCTTAGGTGACTAAAGGTTAGAGCTGAGGAATGAGGACGAACTTAGACCGAATGTAGAAGTCGCCATATTGGATCGATCGGTAAGATCGACGAAGGCTTGGAGCTTAGCAATATTGCGTCGTCGGTACTTGATCGGAATATTTATAGTTCTTGCAAGTTTAGCGTTCTTGTAGTTTATGTCAATTAGTCTTAGATTGTGTGCTCCCTTTATTTAATGTGTCAAATTTTATATTACATTTTGCGTATTTTGAATTAAGCTAATTGTCTTCCGTTAGTTCAGGTTTGCGTCTGTTGAAGTTAAGTTCAGGTTTGGCTAAACTGCAGAATACCCTGCCACTCATTTACATGTCATTGAATAAGAATAGCGTCTCTTGTGTTATGCCTCGATCTTCAAAGCCTCCCGACACAGGTAAATGAGGTGGACCAAAGTGGCAGGGTATCTTGCAGTTACCTCATTTCAATACATTTGGAACAAAATGAAAGCTAACAACACGAACAAAACTGAAACAGAACGAAAGGAAGGTTCATCCTTAATAATCAAAAGGAAGTGATAAACTTATTGTTCCGCGCGCCATGATTTATTTTTAACTGTTTTCCATCACCTAAATATTCATGCATCATACAATTTTCAATTACCCTGCAAAGACCTTTAGTCAAGGCTGGTTTCGTGTGCTGCGAAAAAACATCAAAGACGAGTTAAAATGATAAGTGAAGTTGTGGGATTCAGGAACTTTCCTGTAAGATACATGGTTATTTTTTCGTTCTTTTACAAATTAGCCTTGCTCTCAGTCGATGTGACTTACTAATTTAGGTTCAACTAACAAACGTGAAGAAAATACTGACAGCCAGATATCAATTTATTGAGTTTCACTAGAGTTTACTTTAAAATCTACACTATAGACCTACAATATAGAAAAGTGATTGCTCTTTTCTGTAACTCATAGAAACAATTCTTGGGAACTTTTAGTCAATCCACCAGCAACGAATGTTCTCAATATATTTCTATCTATTATTAAGAGAAATCGTTCTTTCCAACTACATGAAAATTACAGCGCTTTACTCCACTTTGAGTAAAAGAGCACGAGAGCCTCCGGAAAAGATATTGCAGATGTTAGCAGAAAAACAAAACTATAACAAGTAAATAAAGTTTTGCGTTGACTTGAATACAGTCAGTGTCATGCGCAGCAAAATTTAGAAGGCCAACGGGCAAAAAAATTGAAGAAACTGAGTCACACTGGCTGTGTCATTAGTGAAAATCGATTTTGGTTTTGAACTGATCAAGAAAAAACGATTGACTGCATAATAGACCTTTACATGTATTCATTGACATTAGATACACAAGAATATGAAGAGCTGAGTTCACAACTGTTTCTCTACAAAATGATTTCTCAGTTATTATTTTACCAATCATCACTAACTCCCCCCATCCCGGCTACTTAAAGTCTTCACATTCCTGGCATTTGCCTCTTCTTTATTCTATAAGCGAAAGCAATTTGTGGCTGACATTGTCCCCTGGATATTATAAACTATAATCTTGCCTCACCATAACATTGTATGCTTTTAACGCGCAAGTATTTGTGTGAAGAAAGACGTGGGATAACTTGTTGTTCACTGTTTTTTATCACCTACATATTCATTCATCATACAACTAAGAACGTACGAGCCATGTTCCTTCCATTCTCCCCTATCCCCCCCCTCCCACCTTCCCTCGTTTGCATGTGACCACGGTCCCCCCCTCCCACCTTCCCTCGTTTGCATGTGACCACGGGCCTTGCTCTAAGCTCTAAGCCTAAGAAAACATTACGCTGACAAAAATGGTTTCATCACCATAAAGTTTCCCCTGAACATGTGGGAGAGAACATCTGGGAGTGAACATCTGGGAGTGAACATCTGGGAGTGAACATCTGGGAGTGAACACCTGGGAGTGAACCCATGGGAGTGAACCTCTGGGAGTGAACCTCTGGAAGTGAATCTCTAGGAGTGAACCTCTGGGGTGAACCTTTGAGAGTGAACCTCTGGGAGTATTAGGCGCTAAAAACTATGTACATCATGCATTAATTTCACTCAAATGGCTTCTCTATTAGTAATAAATGCCAGTGTTCTTTGGTATCTTATCTTTGCATGTAGATGTTGAGAAGCCACTATGCTTTGAAGTGCAATGGGTTTTTGCGTTGATCTCAGATTTTTTACAATAGATAAGCAACTTTGCCCACAGCCAAAAAATTTTTAATTGGTCTCACGCTCCAAACCTTGCTTAAACGCTAAAAATAAAGACTTGTTTAAGTCCACTGAACTTGAGAGATGAATACAGAACTGTATGAACAGTCAAAAACATCTGATTATTTGCTCCGAAAAGAGCCGGAAAAAGAACAAATATTACAGCTTTTGCTGTCGAAAAATTTGTAAGGTCAGCAAAAATTCACAAACTCACCTATTCTAGCAAATTTTGTTTGTAAATTTTAATTCTAACCTTAAATATAAACGCCTCTAGAACCACATGTTGCACTGTTTGTCGTACAGTAACACGGCTTAATAACAAAATCTAAATAATGATCCAAAAAAGTTAAACTATTGATTTTAAAAACAGACATCAATTAGCGCTTAAAAACAGAATTACCACTAGACGCTAAGAAAAGTGCTGCTATGCATTTCAGTGGAGAAATGTTATGATCACTCTACCATGTCCAGCAGTATTATAGCAACATTCATTTTGCTGATTTGTTCCGTTGTTGAAAGAACCTCCCCCTCCCCCACAGGAAATATTTTTATTCGCACCTCCACTTCCCCCAGAGTATCCTCCACCTCCCCCAGGTAATTTATAGATTACACGATAACCACCCCCACCTCCGAACCCACCCAGATATGCTCCCCCCTCTCCCCCGGCCAGAAGTCCTTTACCTCCCTTTCCCCCTCCACGAGAAATCTCTGAATCTTCTCCATTACTGTAAAAGCCGCCGCCACCACCACCTACAATCAAGAGATTTACAGTTGACATTAGCAACTTAACAGATCATGACTTTTAGTAATTCTGAAAAAATTCCAAATTTGAGCGGCCGGTACCACCTCTTTGTTCGAAATACTGATGGATGCAAAAAAAAGATCCAGTAGTTATGAATAGGAAATTCTTCACCTACCAGAGTACGGTTTCTCAGTTTGTCCTCCATTTCCGTTACTTCCTCCTGACAGGAATGGCGCGTTATACCCTGCATTCCCTGTTGTGTTTATGGACGCATCACATCCGGAATACTGTTCTGTCATTTTTGAAACTCCTCCTCCACCTCCGGCTATGATCAAAGGCTTATTGTCTCCTGTTACTACAAATGTACCTCCTCCGCCTCCGGCAGTTTTTTTGGTGTAAGCCCCTTTTTCCCCTCTTTGACCAACAAGTATACGAATGATCTCATCTTTGGTCAACATAAAGTTTCCAATCATCCGTGCCCCTCTCCCTCCGCTGATCACACTGTCCTCACCGTACTCCCCTGAGGCTCCTATTGCTTCTATTCTGTATTCACCAGTGTGTGGCACAGTCCACAGTTGAGTACCGTTGGACACTGTAACTTGTCCGTCATGATCCTGACCTGTGTAGTGACTGCCAACTGAGTGTGGACCATGAGATCCACTCGTATCAAGGTTTGTGAAAACAGCTGTAAATCCTTCGTAAAACACATGCGGTAAAAATAAAAGTTATGATACTGGTAAGAAATTGTTACAACTATTTCTGGCTCTGCCACTATAGTAAAAACCCGCTTAAAAGAACATGTGTTTTGGGGGTTCAGGCTGATTTTTTTCTTGTATATCGGGTGTATTCCGCAAAATGTTCTTAAAGTGTTCTTATAATTGTTTCTAAAAATTAAATACTGCATAGACTACCAACAGATGAAATCAATATGCAAGCACAGCATTTTAATTAATTCATGGACGGAACTAACTTTAACTGCACTAATCAAGGCAAAATATCGCATTGGGGAAGGGGTAGCAGTTCTAGTGATAAACAACTCGAAACTCAGCAAAGGTCAAGCAAACTCAAAATGCATCAGCCCCCCTCCCTCTTTCCATATAACTATTGACTGGTTCCCAATCCTACAAGCAAACTGAGAGAGCAAAATGTCAGCATTCAGTTTCTCGCATTTCCCGTCCAATTATCAGATCTATTTAAATGTGGGGTGAGATCTTTACATAATCAGAGCCATCTGCTGTTAGCAAACAGCCAGTTTTCTCAAACAATCTCTTGAAAAAATATCTCATCGTTACTAAAATCACTCTACGCCTCCCCAGTCCATTGGGCCATCAAGATCCTTCTATCCTTTGCTGAAAGTCTATCCTGCCGTTGATCTCCTCTTCCAGCCATATTTCCATTGCTGCACCAATTTCACCTTTCATCATCGGACCACATCCTGCATCAATGGGCTGGATTTTGTCAGTGTGGTTTTCAGGCAGCATGTAAACTGTAGTGTCGATCTGATTTCTGCATGTTTCATGGAATTATTGACTTTGTTGAAAGCGGACATTGTCTGCAAATAGAACTTTTTATTCTTTGTCATTCCCAATTACTGGAATAAGTGTGCCCTGGACCCACTGCATGTTGATTTCTTCATCCATCTACGCATTTTGCTGGAAATACACATCAACCCCCTTGTCATACTTTTCTTTCTCCTCAGTGGCCGCACTCCCTTTTCCTCTGAAGATAAGAGCTGGCTTCACGTTTTGTTCCCCATCAGCCCCAATACATAGTTAAAGAGTAGCCTGTCGTTTATCTAAACCAGATGATGGTTGTGACACGCACACTTGCTTAATACCCAATGTGTCGCAGTTTCTATCTTGCTTATTAACAAATGGGATAGGAACCTACCTGGTCGATATTGTATCTATTTTTAGGTATCCGTCTTCTATACTTTGGGTCAACTGTATAGGACTTGTTTCTTCGCCTTTGTGTTTTTAAGGCTTTCCTCAAATCCCTGTGGAATTTCTGGATCGTTTCCCGGCCGAAATTTCTGGATCGTTTCCCGCAACACCGGCCGACTAACGTGGCACATAATAATAATAATAATAATAATAATAATAATAATAATAATAATAATAATAAAATATTTATATAGCGCTCAATCCACTATTTGTCCATGGCGCTTTACATTAAAAAGATATTTAAAAAG